CCGGGGACCGCGGGGACGCTGGGGAAGCTTTTCCCGCGTGCGCAGCCCCGCGTCCCGCCACCGGAAGTCGCGCCCCGACCATCGAGACGCCGGGCTGGCTAGAGAGGCGCTGACTCGGCGGACCCGACCCGCGACCGTGGCTCTGGCGGACTCCTGCCCTACCCGGCTACTCGGGAGGCAGAGATCGGAGGATGGCGGTTCGAAGCCAGCCCGGGCTGGAAAGTTCGTGAGACGCTGATCTCTAAATTAATCACCCAGGGGCGGGGGTGGGGGGTGGCTCAAGGGGTGGAATGCCAGCCTTGAGCGGAAAATGCCTAAGAGGTGGCCACTGGGCCTTGAGTGCAAGCCCCAGGACCGGTTCCAAGAGAGAGAGACAGAGAGAGATCGTTAGGGGGAGAGGTCGTTAGAAAGTTACAGGCCCTTCTTCAAGGAGAGGCTAGAATCCAAAGGGAAGTGTCATTGTATGTTACTACACTTTCCTTGGTGGTAGCGGTCCTGGGGCTTGAACCCAGGGCCTGGGTCCTGCCCCTGGGCTAGGAAGGCTAGGATACTACCACTTGGAGCCACTGCACCATTTCTAGTTGAGCTTTATTTTGTTTTGTTTGGGGCGGTAGTTCATTGGAGACAAGTCTCTGGCCTTTCCTTCCCGGGGCTGTTTTTGAACAGTGATCCTCAGATCTCAGCTGTGCCCTATCAAGTTGAGATTGAATTGTTTCTGAAATGCGTTTAGTGTCTGCACCCAACGTTTTCCCATCTATAACTGCAGTTTATGGCTTCTCTGGAAGGGGTTAGAAGATGGCAGCATCAAATTCAAGTGCTGGTGTCAGGTTTAGCTTAGAGGCAGAACTGGTTTGAAATCATATCAGCCTGAGGTGACCTGACCAATGTGCACATGCACACGTGTTTGTGCTCACACACACACACACACACACATGTCCCTGGGTTTATCTTGCAAAATCCAAAAAGGCCAGGCCTGAAACAGAAATTTGAGTTTTTCTCTGTGTGTGTGTGTTCACAGCTACTGAGGCTTGAACTCAGGGCCTTGGCACTGTCACTTAGCTTTTAGTTAAGGTAAGCTGGCACTGTACCAACTAAGCCATACCTCCACTTCTGGCTTTTAATGGTGGTTAATCAAAGATTGGAGGTAAGAGCCTCAGACTTCTCTGCCTGGGCTGGCTTTGAACTATCATTCTCAGATCTTCGCCTCCTGAGTAGCTATGATTACAGCTGTGAGCCACTGGTGCCTGGCCTCTACTCCTACTTCTTTTTGTAGATAATAAAACAAGCTCAAAGAGGAGTTGCCCAGGGTCTCAGAGATTTGGCTACAAAGTTAGAGACAAGAATCCAGATCTCCCTCACACCAGTCCCATTCTCTTCTGACATTATCACAGTGGTTCTGTGTACAGAGTGATTGATAATACGTAGAGAAGATTTAAATGTACTATTTCCCTGATAATCATTGTACCCCATGCCTGCTTAGAGTCTTGGCTTTAACCTCTAGGTTAAGCAGTGCTATTTCCTGTACTCTCTGGCAATATAAATTCAATGGACTTTAATGCATATATGTTGGAGAGTCTATTATTAATCCACCACACCTCTAGGATTTGAGAAAACTACTGAATGTGATGAAAACTGTCCCAGCCTTCCAGAAGTGCATAACCAAATGAAAAGTGAAAATCTAGATAATACAGTAAGCACACACACACACACACACACACACACACACACGTGCGCACACAACCTTGACAAGTTAGAGTTCCAGCAATCGCCAAGTGATCAGAAATATATGACTGCCAAGAATGGGGGGGGGGTTCACACCTGAAACCCCAGCACTCAGAAGGCAGCAATGGGAGGATCACAAATTTGAGACAAACCTGAGCTCCATAGCAAGATTCTGTCTCAATAAACAGAGGGAGAAGAAAGAAAATAGGAAAGGAGGGAGGAAGGGAGAGAATAACTTGTTACCCCATTCCTGGGAGACCTAGAAAAATGTTCCCCTCCCCCTCAATGCAATTGAGGAAGGGAAGGGATTGCCCCCCCAAATCCAGTGGCAGCAGGCAGCTTACTCCAGAGGGAAGGGGGCACTCAGCTGAGGTAGCCCCTGAGGACTGGGGGAGGGGCCATCACAGGGGCTTTAGGGAGAGCCCAAAGCAGCTGGTGAGCTGGGGTGAGAGAGCAACCTATGTGAAGAAAGCAGAAACGTTAGACAGAGAGCCGATAAAACATGAGTCCCAGGGGGCCCTAGCCAGCAGCATCCCAGGCAATCAGGAGCCCAGGACTGAAGACCCCACCCCTGCTGTGACATCACCGGGGAGTGGGGTGGAGACGAAGATAAAGGGGGTCACCCACACACACACACCCCTGCCTGCCCTGGCCCTGGACGGTTGCCTGTCAGAGTGCTAATAGCAGAGAGAGCCTGGGTACTGGGCTAGGATTGCACGGCTTACAGGAATAGGTTCCATTCCTGGAGTCCCACCAAGCTGCCCCCTCCTGGCCCCTGTCTCCCTGCCCGAGGTCCTCTCTGCTGCTGCTGAGGTGGCCATCGGCCCCCTTCTGGGTGGCCCCTGAGCACTCTCTCAGCATGAACTGCATATCCGACTTCTTCACCTATGAGACCACCAAGTCAGTGGTGGTGAAGAGCTGGACCATCGGGATCATCAACCGTGCAGTTCAGCTTCTGATCATCTCCTACTTCGTGGGGTGAGTCTGTGGCCCTTCAGGTCTTCCAATGGGATTGCTCCCTGGTGTCCTTCCCTGTCTTCTCCCTCGGTGCTACCCTGTAGCCTCCTGGACGTCTCCTCTCTTGAGGGGAGACACACATTGTTTGGTGGCAGGGTGGGGGCGGGTGATCCATGATCTCAGGGATTGAGTCCAAAAGTAGATTCTTTCTCCTGGTAAATCCTCCAGGCTTGGACAGTGGTTTCTAGACACGCACACTTCAAGGGATGGGGTTCTTTTCTCCGGCATTACTCTCCACCAGAAGTCCCGGGCGATTCATCTCCCCCACTTCTAGAAGAGGAAGAAGCCCTCTCCCCATCATCTTTCATTTCCCTCCGACAAGTCTCAGGGGTCTCAGAAAGACAAGGGAGCCCCGACCTCAAGGAGCTGGGGACAGTTGACTGGGTTGATGTTGGGTGGAAGGGAGGACCGTCTGGAGAGGAAAGGAGAAAGCTGGATTTGATTTAGCATGAATTCCCTCTTGGCAGAGGCAAGATACCAGGAGCATGGAAAGGTGAGAAAGTCTTGTTTGGAAGGTAGGACCAGAGAGGGAACCTGTCCCCCCACCCCACCCCTGCCATGCCATGGGAATAATGCCAGGGAAGAGTTGCAGAGAAAAGTAGCTTTTCCGATGTCATGTTTGATCCTTTGCAAAGAATACAGAAATGCTTCCCTTTGTAAACAACAACAGCAACAAAAGTATACATTTCCTAGTTTCTTTGCTTCTCTGCCATAAAACTTATCCAGGTGGTTTCTTTTATTATAATTATTATGATCATGATCACTTATTATTTTAAGTAGCTGTACAAAAAGGGTTTCGATTCAACATGTCAGTGCATGAATGCAAGGCATCTTTTTTTTTTTGGCCATTTAACAAAGCAGTTGATGAATACAATGCATCTCGATCAATGTCGCCGCCTCCCCCCATTATTCTCCCCCATCTCTCCCAACCCCGTCAAGTTCCCTGGTTTCATCCCAGGAGTTTCTTAAGAAGCAGCAAGATCCAAACCCTTCCCCACTTGGCCCCTACCTCACAAAGGTGCCCACCCCTACGCTAGACACACAAAGGGCAATCAGCAGACAATGGATGGTGGGTGGGTGGAGGTGAAAACACAGGTCCTAGCTTTCTTGTGGTCATTTCCATACACTGGTGGGCACCAGGAAATGCAGGCAGAAACCTCAAAGGTTTTTCTTTCCTGGGCTTTGGATCTGTGGTCTCTTGCTGTCCCTGGAGACCATGGGCCTTAATGCATGAGAGAAAAGCAAGCCAGTGACCAGGTCATGAGTTAATTCGACTAAGTCAAAGTAGATATTCTGGGGTACCTGTGGGCCAGAGCTGAAAGATTGGGTTTGTTGTGCGCCTATGTGCCCGGAAAGATGGGCTGCTGCTGTGCTGGTTGGAAGCAACGTTTCCTTCAGGGATTTGGCAACAACCAGATGGCTTTGGTGAAAGCCAGTAGGCTTTGGTCTATCTAGCCTTCCTTGTAGAGAGATCAGAGGTGCAATTCAAGCTTTGGAGTGGGATGAAATGGTCCTTCTGATGTAGACTGTCTGTGAGAGATGACGCTTGCAAAGTGCCTCATAGCTGCAGTTCCAGAGCCTGACTTAAATGTGGGGGTTCAACCTTCCCTATTCGTGCGTGCATTCGGTGCCACGGCTGTGCAGACCCTGGGGACGGTGCACAGGTACCGAGGAAAGGCTACCTCAGCACATTCCCAAGTTAGCTCGGCTCCATGGGCTTCAGGAGGGAGATGGATGGAAGGCTCCTTGCCCAACCCACTCAAATCCCCCCCCCCGTCTCTCCCTGCTCAAGATCAGATTGGATTCTCCAGTGCTGGGGGGCCAGAGCCGAGTCTGCATGAGGGAGCTTGAGAGAGGCTCTTTGGCGTCTTGATATCCAACCCCATCCATCTCCCGGCCTGACAGTTCCCCGTGGAACACAGCCTTGCCGTTAGAGCAGCACACTTGGCAGCCCGGCCCCCTGGCCTGAACCTATCTCAGTCTATAAGAGCCCTCTGTGTTTTCATGAATCCATTGTCATTAATTTAGAAAGGTTTAAAAAAAAAAAGTATTGAGCGTCTCTTCATACCAGGCATTGTGCCTTGGTTGGATAAC